AACATTACTTCTCTCCTTGATTAGTTGCCGTACATTGCTTCTTGTCCTGTCTTCAGGTGCTTTGGAGAATAGACTGTCCCTCTCTGACTGCCCCTTAGATATTGGAACACTGCTCTCATGTCACCCTTAGTCCTTCTTTTTATTAAACTAGACATTTATGTGCCTCTCCTTTCAGTTTACGTCTATCAGCCTTTTTTCAAGTTAGCTGCTTCCTTATCCTTGAAAATCGAAAAAAATACCACTTCATTTCACCCATTTCTAATCTTTCTATTTCTCTTCCAGCAAACCAGATTTTCCTAACCTGGGATAACAGTCCAAGATATAACATGACTGTTTCCCTTTTCTTCAGATATCCATTTTTTTTACTTCTGCTCAAGCATGTCTGATTCTCAGAAAGTGGGTGGACAAGTTCCTGCAAGTTTTTTCAGAAGTGGTTTGCCATTGCTTCCTCCCTGGGGCTTTGAGAGGTGACTGGCCCAAGGACAGCTAGCTGGTTTTGTGCCTATGATGGGACTAGTACTCACAGTTTCCCAGATTCTAGCTTCTTAACCACTACACCAAACTGGCTTTCAATCCAATAATATAGCTAGAAGCAGATGGGGGTGGTATGATTCAGTGATGCCACCACAGTTAAATTTACAGGCTGGTTTTTTGGTCATCATGATTTTTTTGTGTAACCTTTTGAAATAGGTACATTAATGCTCCCAGAGCCTTAAGTTAACACATTGCAAAAGGGCACTCTTTTAGAATTTAATTCACCCTGCTAAGAGATTAAAAAAAACAAATTTTGCAGCTAGTTTTCAGCATTCCTACAAGGTAGATGAACTCAGTTACTGTGGGAATGGATATACTATTGAGATATTCCAATTCTGTTATTCTGAAATTGAAGGACTGAGATTGTTTTGGTCGCCATGATGTAGAAAAGATGTTGAAACTCTAAAAAGAGTACAGCAGCAAAAATGATTAGGGGACTGGAGGCTAAAACATATAAAGAATGGTTGCTGGAATTGGGTATGTCTGAAAAGAAGGACTAGGGGAGACATGATAGCAGTGTTTCAATACCTTAGGGGTTGCCATAAAGAAGAGGGAGTCAATCTATTTTCCAAAGCACCTGAAGGCAGGAGAAGAAGCAATAGATGGAAACTAATCAAAGAGTGAAGCAGCCTAAAACTAAGGAGGAATGTCCTGACAGTTAGAACAATTAATCAGTGGAACAACTTGCCTCCAGAAGTTGTGGATGCTCTAACACTGGAAGTTTTTAAGAAGAGATTGGACAACCATTTGTCTGAAATGGTACAGAGTTTTCTGCAACAGTAGGGGTTGGAGTAGAAGACCTCCAAGGTCCCTTCCAACTCTGTTATTCTGTTATTCTGAGATTGAAGGACAAAGTTAGGAACAGGTCATCATGGAAAACATCCGTCTAAGTAATTGCTAAAAGTTGACATGGACTTAATGGCACATACTCATGAATCATCAACATTTCAGCCTCCCTGAGGGAAGAAGGCACTAATGACCATGCAGTCTGAAGGGATTTAAGCATCCTGGGCATGACATTTCCTGAGAACATCCATAGAATATCTATAACCTAGTTTTACTAAGTAATATGGCTCCAGGGAAATGATCAAAGCTAAGCTGTAAAAAAATATGCTGTTGTGTCCATGTGATTTTTCCATTAAAAAGATGATTAGGGGTTAAAACCAGGAAAATGACATCCCTAAGTGGGTAGAATTAGTTGACAGTCAGGAGAAAACACTTTTGCCAGGACTTCAGGATAGTTGACTAGCTAAATGATAATTGCTATAGCATGTAGAAGAAATTTCAAAAAGCCAAATGACATGCTGTATTGTAAGCAATCATCTCTTAAAGAGGAAACAAAGTGATTAAATTAGCCATATAAGAAAAAAACCAATAACAGTAGTGTCCTAACATGGAATATGTTTTGGATTAGCCTGCCAGTTTCCTGGCCACAATTGTCTTTGTCCCACTGCTAGTTGCTTATTGTGAAACCACAATAAGGAGCACATTTAAGATCAGGTCATCCTTGATTGATTGATTGATTGATTGATTGATTGACTGACTGACTGACTGATTGGTTGAATTCTGGGAGTTGAAGTCCACAAGTCTTAAAGTTGCCAAGTTTGGGGACCCCTGTTCTAGACGTTCATATATTTCCTTAACAACATCCAACAAAAAGGTAGAAGTTCAGAGACCAAGTCCTGCAGGCAATAATGACCTGATGCTGTTCCCATTTCTCCCTTCAGTTCAGTACCTTCAAAGATATAAGAAAGGCTGTTCCTGTGCCTTTTTTAAGCTGTAAAAATTACACAATTTTGTTAAAATTAACCCCTGCCCAATTCCGAAAAGGATCTAAAGATTCAGCTGACATCACACTATTACAAGCCTCCAGTAGTCTTCCACCAGGGAGAAAGGCATGATGGAAAAATACGATAGATTGGATAAATTGATTATCTGAGATGGCAGGAATCTTCCCAGGTTTTATTTTAAGCACCTGGGAATTGACTTGAAAACTGTCCCTTGCAAATTATTGTTCATACCCAGAGGTGGTATTTAGCAGGTTCTGACCAGTTATGGAGAACCGGTAGCGGAAATGTTGAGTAGTTCAAAGAACCAGCAAATACCACCCTTGACTGGAGATTTACAGTATCCTTTCCCCTGCCATGCCCACTAAGCCACACTCAAGGTTGACTCAGCCTTACATTCCCTCGCTGTCTTACTGCTTCACTCAGGAGGCTTCCCTGAGGCCCAAGAGTCAAAAGGGGGCAAAAGGGGGCATTTTTTGCCTTCCTGGGCATCAGGGAAACTTCCTGGGAGCAAACAGGCCCCCCAGGAGGCTTCCCTGAGGCCCAGGAGGCCCAAAAAGAAAAAAGAAGAAGCCATGCCCACCTAGCCACGCCCACCTAGCCATGCCCACAGAACCAGTTGTTTAAAAATTTGAATCCCACCCCTGGTTAAGTTGCTGGGTTTGTTGGCTGGAAAGCCAGTGGGCCAGGTTCAAAACCTGAGCACCACATAACAGGGTGAGCTCCCATCCTTATCCTAGCTCCTGCCAACTTTGCAATACAAAAGCATGCAAATGTGAATAGATAAATAGGTACCACTTTGGTGGGAAGGTAAAAGTGCTCCCTGACATCATGCTGGCCACAAGATTATGGAAATGTCTTTGGACAACTCTGGCTCTGTGGTCTTGTAATGAACTAGTGGAGTAAACTCTACAGATACCCTTTACCAGAGAGGCTGTAGGTCTGGATTTTCAAGTGGGGATAATCATCCCAAAGATGCTTTTTTGAAAGACAACTGGACTTATTTTTTTTTCCCCTTGAAGACATTTTGCTTCTTATCCAAATAGCTTCTTCAGTTCAGAAGTCCAGAAGGAAAACACAAGAAAGTCTAGCTGCCTTTTGAAAAAGCAGCTTTGGGATAACCATGCCCTGGATGACTTACAAGTGAAAATAATATTTGGGTGGATAAGGGAAGAGTTCCATTTTTCCGGCACATTTAGAAAACGTTGTTAGCCTGCAAAAATTTACATTGCAGCAATATTTAGCCTAAGTCAGCATAAATATTTAAAACGTGTAGAGCATTTTTAGAAGAGGATTCTGCACCAGATGAAAAGCAGTTCTGGATTAGAATCCTAATATTTGGACAAGAAAATTCAGTTGCAGGATAGCTTTGATGGCAACAGGTTTTCTGTCTGCCAATCTTTGAAATATTGTTGGAATCCTTCACCCACTGCCTTTAAGTTTCCCAACTTCACAGGTGAAATTGACAAAATTCTATTAGTGTACCACTTGTCTTCCTGGAGAGACTGGCCAACTTTCCTTCCTTTCTCTTCTCTCTGGAAATGGGCTTAAGGGGATTTGGCTGCAGAATATGAAGAGGTTCTGACAGGGCAATTATTTTTACTCCTTGTACTTCTGAACCAAGAAAAATATAGTTGGTGGAGGATCATTTTAAAATTACTTTCATAGCATTAGGAAAAATAAAAATTGGTGGTTAGTGGGCCAGAGATTCTGAATCATTTAAATCATTTAGCATTTGTAGCTAGGAAACTGGAAGCAGAAGGTCCATAAAATATTAAGAAATTCAGACAGCATGAATAGTATCAGTGGCCATTGTGATATGAATATTTCCATATTGGTAGCTCATTAAGCTATAAAAATCAACTCTGGGCCATGTGTAGCCAACCTGGCCCAAAAGAGCAAACAGTTATTGTTTTGTGTCCATCATATTGATATTTAAATTTTACAGGTAAGTTTTGAGTCCCACTGCCATGTCAAACATAACACCACACACATTTCTAGCACTGAACTTTTGAGAATGCTTCTCCTGAAGGCTTTGTCTGGTTAGCTTCTCTTCATGAATGACTATTCTTCTACTGCTAGTTTTGATCGTTACCTGTTCAGATATCAAATCTATGTCTATTTATCATAGTGTCATAGGATTGGAAGGAACCTTGAAGATCTCCTAGTCTATCCCCTGTCCATGACAGGAATCCTTAAACCTTCCAAAACCAATGGACGTCTAATCTTTCTTTGACCATTTCTAGTGATGGAGCACCCACAACTAGAAGAGTACTACACTCCTCTGCTCACAACAGAATACCCTACATCACCAGGCTTGAAATTTTGGGCTTGGACAATTTTGAACTATGCCACCTACCTTTGGACTTAAGCATAGTACACAAAATTATCTGCTAGAATGTCCTACCAGTCAATGACTACTTCAGCTTCAACCACAACAATACAAAAGCACACAACAGATACAAACTCAATGTAAACCGCTCCAAACTTGATTGCAGAAAGTACGACTTCAGCAACAGAGTGGTCAATGCCTGGAATGCACTACCTGACTCTGTTGTTACATCCTCTAGCCCCCCCACTCCTTTACCCTTAAACTATCCACTATAGACCTCACCCCATTCCTAAGAGGTCTGTAAGGGGCGTGCATAAGTGCACCATCGTGCCTCCCATCCCTGTCCTATTGTCCCCATTTATTCGTACCTGTTTCCTGTATTCTTACTCATGTTTATATTTATACCTATTATCTTGTAAGCGATTGACAAATAAAATAATTCAGGGGGCAGACTATTCCATTACTTAATAGCTCCTAAGGCCAGGAAATTGGATCTCTACAATTATAGTATCTATAGATCTGTAATGATAGTTATAGTTTATAGATACTATAATTACAGTATAGATGAACCTTCCAATCTGTAGTTCCTCTCCTATCCCCAAACACTATGGGGAATAAAGCCATACTCTTTTTGTCCCTTATTCTTTTCCTAGGTGAAATGTACACTGGATTATAACCATTCTTCATAAGATTTGGCCTCCACACCCCTCACTGTCTCTGTTGCTCTTCCTGTACTCTTTCTTCCACATCCTTCTTGTACTCTGATAACCAAAACTGGGTACAGGTAGTCCTCAACTTACAACAGTTCACTTAGTGACCTTTCAAAGCTACAACAGCACTGAAAAAAGTGGCCAATGACCATTTTTCATGCTTGTGACCATTGCGGCATCTCCATGGTCACATGCTTTACATTCAGATGGTTGACAACTGACTCACATTTATGACCATTGCAGTGTCCTGGAGTCACGTGATCTTCTTTGGCGACCTTCTGAAGAGCAAAGTCAATGGGATAACCAGATTTACCTCACAACCATATTTCTAATTTGAGAACTTCAATGCTTCGCTTAACAAATGTGCTGAGAACAGTTGTAAAATGAGGTGGAATTCACTTAAGAAATTTCTCACTTAGCAGCGTAAATGTTGGGCTCAACTGTGATCATTAGGATTACCTGTACAGTACTCCAGATGTGATCATCATAGAACCAAACAATCTCTTTTAATTCAATAACTCTGTTGGTGCAGTCCAAAATTGCATTGGCTCTTTTGACAGCTGTACCACATTGATGCCTTATCTAAATCAGTCATTGCCGGGACACCCAATCTCATCACTAGCAGGGGTGGGATGCTGGGGGTTCGCAGGGGAGCCCCTAGCTAAGACTCTGTGCAGTTCGGAGAACCCCCAAATCCCACTCCTGGCTAGCCCCACCCACCCCACCCCGCCCCTCCCAGGAGTCCCCAAGCAGCCTGTTTTGGATGTAGGTAAGCTCAGGGTATCCACGGAGGCTCAAGGAGGGTGAGAAACGGGCCTCCCGGGAATTCGGGAAGGCTGGAAATGGGCCCGTTTCTGGCTTCCAGAGAGCCTCCAGAGCCTGGGAAGCTGTTTTTGCCCTCCCAGAGGCTCGAGGAAAGCCTCCAGAGCCTGGGGAGGGCAAAAATACCTGCCAACCCGCTGTGGTGCATGAGGCTGACTAGGCCACGCGCACCATGTTTGTTTACCTTAAATAGTGTGTACATGAGCACTGAAGGCAAATAATGTGTTGATTTATTAATTCTACCTGTTAAATGTATTACAGCTTCCTATTCCAAGGGACTCTATGCAGCTCACAAAATACAATACTAAATTCAAACAATTAAAGACACTCAGAAAACAAATCATAGCCGCCCAGGCTAAAAGCAACGATTAAAACAAAACACAACAGGGCCCACATACACAACCAAGCGTATCCTGCCTTTAAGAGCTTTTCAGAATCCTAGAAAAGAGGACACCGACCATATTTCTGGAAAGATGCTAGAACAGCAGCTCCCAAGCTTTGGGGCACCAGGTACCAGATCCATGGAAAGAAATTTTTCCATGGACCAGAGGGGGCGTGGTTTCACATGCTGCCTGCATCCTATCGATGGGGGTTCACTTGTTTGCATGGACAAGTTTCTGGCATGCTGTGGCTGGTGCACAGACCATCTGAAAGCAGAACAAGAAACAATGGATGAAAACTAATTAAGGAGAGAAGCAACCTGGAATTCAGGAGAAACTTCATAACGGGGAAGACAATTAACCAGTGGAACAGCTTTGCCTTCAGAAGTTGTAGGTGCTTCATCGTTGGAGGTTTTTAAGAAGAGACTGGAGGGCCACTTGTCTAAAATGTTATAGAGTCTCTTGCTTGAGCAGGGGGTTGGACTAGAAGACCTCCAAGGTCCCTTCCAGCTGGATTCTGATTCTGTTTTCCAAAGCATCAGAAGGCAAGAAAAGAAGCAACAGAAGGAAACTAATCACGGAGAGAAGCATTTCTAGAACCAAGGAGAAACAGCTTGCCTTCAGAAGCAATCTTCAGAAACAGCTTGATTCATCACTGGAGGTGTTTAAAAAGAGACTGGACTTGTCTGAATTGGTAAAGGAACCCTTGCTTTTATACTGAAAATATTAAAAGAGAGACACATGGACAATTCAAATCCTAAATTTATGGAAGGGATTCATTCACGTATCTAGGTCACTTTTGGATTGGCATGTTAGAGGGGTTAGATTTAAGGTATGCCAGATAACAAGCTCACCATTTCAGCCTATGAGAAGGAAGCACAGTTGACAAAGACTCATTTGAATGAATGAATTCTTTATTGGCCAAGTGTGATTAGACACGCAAGGAATTTGTCTCTGGTGCATATGGTCTCAGTTTACATTAAAAAAAAGATACATTCATCAAGAATCATAAGATACAACACTTAATGATAGTCATAGGGTACAAATAAGCAATCAAATCATACTAGGAAACAGTCAATATAAATCAGGGGTGTCCAACCTTTCACCTTCCCTGGGCCACATTAGAAGATGAACATTTGATTTGGGCCGCACATAAAATAAAATAACAGTAACGATACCTGATCATCCAAAAAAAAACATAGAAAACATAGTTAACATATTAAATTTATTTGGAAATGAAGTTAGCGAGATGTTTTTATTATTAATTATTTATTAAAAATTATTTTTTTTATCACAGTTTTTTTATCACGTTTTTTTATCATGGTTTATTTTCTGGCCAAATTTTGCGGGGGTGGGGGAGAAAGCTCGCCCGCCTCGCGCCTACCTCTCCTCCTGCAAATGGCCTGGCTGGATGAGGCAGGACTGGAAGGCAGAAGCAGCAGCAGCGGCGGGGGCAGAAGCAGCAGCGGTGGCGGGGGCAGAAGCAGAGGTGGCGGGGGCAGAAGCAGAGGTGGCGGGGGCAGAAGCGACGGCGGGGGCAGAAGCGACGGCAGGGGCAGAAGTGGCAGCAGGGGCAGAAGCGGCGGGGGCAGAAGCGGCGGCGATGGCGGTAGTGGCAACAGCAGGAGGTGGCGCTCTGACGGCGCCTGCTTTTTCTGTTGCTGCTTGGCCTAGCACTCGCCTCGCCCTGCCTCGCGCCTGCTTCTCCTCTTCCTCCTCGCTGGCTCTGGCACGAAGGTTGGGGTGGGCACTGGGCCGCATTACAAGGTGACCTGGGCCGCATGCGGCCCTTGGGCCGCAGGTTGGACAAGCCTGATATAAATCATAAGGATACAAGTAACAAAGTTGCAGTCATACAGCTACAAGGGGGAGGAGGTGGATGAAAGGATGGATGGAAGGATTAATAGTAATAGTAATGCAGACTGAGTAAATAGTTTGACAATGTTGTGGGAATTATTTGTTTAGCAGAGTGATGGCGTTCGGGGAAAAACTGTCCTTGTGTCTAGTTGTTCTGGTCTGCAGTGCCATATAGCATTGTTTTGAGGGTAGAAGTTGAAACAATTTATGTCCAGGATGTGATGGGTCTGCAAATATTTTCACAGCCCTCTTTTTGATTCGAACAGTATATAGGTCCAAAATGGAAAGCTGGTTGGTAGCAGTTGTTTTTTTCTGCAGTTCTAATTATCCTCTGAAGTCTGTGTCTGTCTTATTGGGTTGCAGAATTAAAAGTTTCATAGAAAACTATATTTTAATAATGATACAGGTGGGGTTATGAATCCAAACCTCACTGGCAAATGATGTTTTCCATCAAGTAGCCAGAGAAAGATGTAAACTGTAACTTCTGAGAGGGGAATGTTTTCGACCCAAAATTAATACTTCACTGTGAAATCAGAAAGTTGCAGCAGCATAAAAAATAAAGGGCCAGATAGAAAAACATTCCTTAAAAGCTCCTGAAAGCAAAATTTTCCAATTGCTTGACTATGTCAGTAGTGATACACTTCTAATTATAGAGTGTAAATGATCATAAGAGCATCTACTTGAGAGAAAACAGATGGAAAGGTAGGATGAGAAGACCAAAGCATCAGGAGACCAAATGTAAGAGTTGATTTTCACTTCTGATTTCCTTATATCTTGGGTACCACAAAGCACTTTGAATTAAAATGAAACATCTGACAAGATGTCTAAATGAATAAGCAATAAAGTGCTAGCAATGATAAACCCATATGACATCTGCTCCCATTGTGGAAAACAAACTGAAGGTATACAGTTGAATTAGCCAAGCACTTATTCCTCCTTTGACTCCACCCTAGGATCTGCCACCCCTTCTTCTCTTACCACAACTTTGGATCAGTCATTAGCTGCATTCATGCAAGGTGTTTAATGTGACTACATTGATTCATTTTCATTTTCAAATCAACTGGACTGGATTTATACAATACACTAAAGTATCCAAACAGCAACAACCAAGGTTAAGTAAAAACCCAGGAGTTGTGTGAACACAGTCCCAACCTCTCAGCCCCCTCTAATTCACATATTTGTTGCAATGAGGATAAAAATAGAGGAAACACCTTATGTACCTTCCTCTAAACTCTAATAGGAAAGGCAGGATATAAGTGTAACATCATAATTACCTTCAGCGTAATTATCACCATCATTAATATACCGTGGGAAGTTTACTGCCTTCTTTCCGAAAAGAGATTGGAAGCATGCCCCCTTTTTAATTAACCTCAAATTAGGATTGCACCCAGACCCTTTTGTTGAAATGAGCCAGCATCATAACCAACAATTTTAAGTGGTATCATTTTCACAGGCCATAATTAATCTCAATGTAGAGGCCACCCCAAACGTGGCTAATCAAATGTGCAGTCAAAAGGTCTAATGCCATCGATGATAGAGGTCAGAAGGGGTCTAGTTGCACCTTTTACAACTAACCAACTTTTTTTAAAAAAGCATAAAAACTATGCCTTATT